AAGTCCTCTACAATAATTATGTTTTATCGAGTTTCCTTACATTTTGAATAGACTTTTTCATATCTCTGACTGTCATATTTTTGGTACAAATAGGTTAGGTGTCTTAGCTTCTTTGAAATAGGTTTTTTTTTTTTTTTTTTTTTTTTGGTCTTTCTGAGACAGGGTCTCCCTGTAGCCCCAGCTGACCTGAACTATGTAGACCAGGCTGGTCTTGAACTCACAAGAATCCACTGCCTCTGCCTGGGATTAAGGGCATGTGCCACCACGCCTGGCTTACAATGTTCCTTTTTATGTAGTTAAAATGCTTCTAATTAACATCAAATGTCACTTTCTGTTCATATTTGTTTAATATGTGTTTCTCTGCCTTCTTTGTTTTAACCTTTCACTTCATTAAGGTCTTCTGATTATAAAAGGAGTATGGCTAGCTTTTATTTTCATTCCAGTTTGAAAGCCTATCTTTTAATGAGAGCTCAGACTATTTATATATGGGGTAGAGGTTTTATTTCTTCCAACTTATGTTGCTGTTTTTAAATTTTATCCTTTATTTTACACTTCAGTTTCCTTCCTCCCTCTTCCCAGTTTGGTCAAGTTGCTATTTGTATTTTAAACCTCCTTATAAACTTGCAATTCCTACAACACTTTTGCATCACATTAATGAAAATAAACATCAAAAATTAAGCTTTAATATACAGACCTGTAAGAAAATCTTTGCTCAGCTAATAATTACCTCAACACCTCTGTTCCAAGAAACAATGGTGCATTAAAAATATCCCCCAGCTCCACACAAGGATATAGTCAACTACCGCCAATTTTTAAAATTCTAACAGTCTAAGCTCTGCCTGAACTGCCTCAAACACTGCAAAGGGCTTTATGGATAAGCAGTATATTCTGAAGCTCTGATATGTGTAATTGCTTCTTTGCTTTTAACAGATCCTGAACAAGTCCACTGCAAAAAGTTTTAACTAAATTCTGCAAAAGCAGTTTGGGGACACAGAGTTCCACATTCCTGTTTTCTCTTCATAACTGTATACTTCTCATTAATTATAGAAAAGATTAAAACTCTGCATACCCAAACCTACTGCTCTCACCAAAAAGATATTTTATTTTGGTTTTGGTACTTTTTAAATATTTATTATTTTTATTTTATGTGTATGAGTGTATTGCCTGTGTGTATGTAAGAGTACCCGTGTCATGCAATGCCTGCGGAGATCAGAAAAGGGTGTCAGATCCCCTGGGACTGAAGTTACAGATGGTTGTTAGCTGCTATGTTGGTGCTGTGAACTGCACCGGGATCCTTGACAAGAGCAGCCAGTACTCTTAAGTGCTGAGGTATCTCTCTCCAGCCCCTTGCCTTGGTACCTTTTAACACAAGATGAGACTAATATGATCACTTCATCTACCTCCACTTTCTTCCCTGAAGATCGTCAAAATCCCATTACTCTGACCTCCATCTCATCCCATTCCTACATATTCTGAAGATTTTCCAAGACTTACGAGTTCTAGATTAGAATTTCCCTCTACTAGGCCCCTTCTCTTCAGGAGTTCTAACTTCACTACTTTTGAAAGACATTCAGACTATAGTGTACATTTAATTATGTGTATGTGTCTCCAAACCATCCCTATTAGAATGCTCTAAGCTCATTCATTAGTTGTCACAGCAGTGGTTCTTACTAGGACTTATGCCACTTCTGCAAGAGATGCCTAAATGCATGTGAAGAGTTGTCACGGTGTCTCAATATACTGCTCAATTTGCTGTGTGGAAGACAGAGATGCTACATCAAGGAACTCAAACAGTAAACCAATATTATTGTCTTCTCTACAGATTTTAAGATTCTATCAATTGACCCTACAATATCCTTTATATAAAAAAAAGAAAATCCAAAATTGTAAGCTGCATAGTACTGTCATGTCCTTTTAGCTCTCTTAATTTGAAAAATGCCTGAATTGTTTTTGATTTGGGGGTTTGTTTCTGAAATTTATAACACTGACATGATGGGGGTACAGCCTAGTCACATTACAAAATAGCCTCAGCACAGGATTGTCTCATGCTTCTTAATGATTATACCCACATCACTCATTTTTCCAAGTATCATATCAGGAGGCACGTACACGATGGTTATATTAACCTTGTTGATGTGGTTAGGGTAGTGTTGGGCAGGTCTCTCCACTGCAAATCACTATCTTCACCTTTGAAATTAAAAAGCAATTTATAAGAACATATTCTGAGACTGTGCAAACATTCTTCTACTCCTAAAGTTTTCACTCACTGGATTTTTGTATATTTCAATAATTCTCCTGTGACTCAATTATCACAATTGTTGGCAGATAGTGATATTCTAACTCCACCATTCCCTCTACTCATCAGCTACTTGGAATTTGTTCTGTTGCTGTTTTAAATTTTTTATAGAATTTTTGTGTTATCATACAGAAAATCATCTTTATACCCCTCTCCCCTTTGGCACCCTCCCATACCACCCCCCACTGGACTTCATACATTCTGTCATTTGTGTTAAAGAAGGCCTATCATGTAAAGTTAGTGTCCCCAGATGTCCCTCAGTGCAAGTTCATATGCTGGGATCTATCTAGTCAGTCTATCTAGAGTCCGTCCCTTTAAGAAGACCAGCTCATTCTTACCCAAGAGTAATCAGCTGTCAATAATTCTCTAAGATTAGGACTTGCTGTTTATTTCCACAGTTCTGTGCTGGGTTTTTGACTGCCCAGGTTTGCATGGGTCTTGTGCATGCTGATACCATTCCTGTAGGTTTATATGAGAAGGGTCCCAGGTGCCTGTATGACTATTTCCATATGGTCATGCACCTCCTCCCTGGCTCTTACAATCTTTCCACCCTCATATTCCACAATGATCTCTGAACCCTGGATGGGTGGATTTTAACACAGGAGTCCTGTCCAAGGACCCACACTCTGTAAACTCTTATTCTCTGTTTTAGCCATTTGTGACCTTTTTCATTCCTGGCCTTCTGTTGCATGAGGGAGCTTCATTGATGAGAACTGAAAGATGTGTTAGTGTTCTCTTCATCCCTTGTTCTATGTTCTGTGAGCCTTAGATGTAGAGGTTGCATCCTAGATGTGCCACTTAGATTTGGGCAATTCAGAGACAATCTCTGTGTGTGACCAGCTATGGAACTCTGTAACTATCTCTGTCTCTTGAAAAAGAAGCTTCTTTGATGGGTGGTGAGTGGGATAGTTGTCTATAGATTTAAGGATCAATAGTACATTTGTCTAGGGATGTGACGGCCTTGGAATTTTCTGTAAGATCTATGACCTCTCCAGCTATGTGTATTTGGCTACATTTACAGTACCACACATGAGTTTCCTCCCATTGAGTGGGATTTAAGTCCAATTAGGCAGCTGTTGATTACCCCCAAGATAAAACTGCCACTACTACACCAATGTCATTTGCTGTACTGGTCAATAATGTGGTTTTTAGGCCTTGAAGCTAGGGTTGTAAGGAAGAGTTTCCAGTTCTCTCCTATTCATTTGCTCAATCATTCATTCACTCACTCATTCATTCATTCATTCAATTCATTCATTCATTTCAATGTAGACTCAGAGATTATCACCTATTTACCAGGCTCTACTCCTTTTGCTGTCTTTAATTTTGTTGATAAAATTGGCCAGTGAGTGCTCCTTGCCCTTTCAAACTCAGTTCCTGTGTTCTTTCAACATGGCTCTATCATACTATGAACACATTCCTGCCTTTTCTATTCTTTCTCTTTTTTTGTTTGTCCCCATATGATGGTCTAAGTTCACAATGTTTGTGATTTCTTCATTCTAATTCTGAAAGCAACCATTTCTCTAAGGAATCTGGGTTCCTTTAAGTAAGACCGGTATTGAAAATCCAGTACTGGGGCCAGCAAGGCAGTCTGTGGACAGAAGCACTTGCTGTCAATCCTGATGAGCTGGGTTCAATCTCTAGAACCCACATGGTAAAAGGAGAGCACTGACCCTTCCAAATTGTCCTCTGACCATACAGGTGCAGTCGCACACATACCCCCATATACCTACCAAATAAACCAATGTAAAAAAATATTTTTTAAAGATCTACCAAAAAAAGGACTAAGTGCTACATTGTACAATTGCAAGAACCTAAAAACAGTTTAAGTGAAAGAAACCAATGAAGGCCACATATTTTATGAACCTATTTATATGAAATATCAAGAATAAGCAAACCTACAGTAACAAAAAGTAGATTAATGGTAGTCAGGGGAGAAGGGTGGAAGGAGCCAGGGGGCTTTAAGTATGGGATTATTTCCTAGGAATGATGAACTGCTGATGTAACTTTATGAGTATACCAAATTCCACTGAATAGTGTACTTCAAAATGTAAATTTTATGGCATGAAACAGTATTTCAATAATAAAACAACATTTATGCATACAATATGCTTACTGATATGGGGTGTTACTGTTTCTAGGGCCTCTGAAAGGACAGCACTGTGAAACACATGTTCATATTTGAATTACACATTCACATGTGACATACATTTAGGCATACAAAGTACACTTGCACAGCTATCTCTAGAGAAAGCTCCCTGTACTGCCCTCTCCAGTTCCAGCCCAACAACCACAGGCTAATTCTCTCCTTTCCTCCTTCAAGTTTGCAATCCCCTTTTAAACAGTATCAAGTCTTAAGAGTCAGAATTCAAATTCAGAAAGCTCAGCTCTCTTAATAATTACACTTTAGGAATCAACATTTAAGAAACTGATAATTTAATGGAACTGAAGAGATGGCTCAGTGGTTAAGAGCTGGTACTGTTCTTCCAGAGGACCTGAGTTCCCAGTACCCACATTATTAGGCAGCTCACAACTGCCTGCAACTCCAGCTTCAGGAAATCTAAAACCTCTGACCTCTGCAGGCACCTGCACTCACATTCACACACACTTATACATAATTAGAAATAGAATAAATCTCTTAAAAAATCTATAATTTGCTGAGCTAAATTCAGCAGGACCCAGGCAATGTCTCCTTATGGATACTCACAGTGATACTGTCCAAGAGTTTGGCCATATGTTTAATAATTTCACCATGCTGTGCAGGCTGCATTTGCAGCAATTTCTTTATAACAACCACACTTTCAGCAACAACTATTTCTGAAAGACACAAAGATTAATGTATCAAATATGTATAATCCAATGAAATTGCAATCTGCCTCATAAACTGCAAACTTAAATTAGCAAAACATTCTGCATGCTTTAGATAGGAGAAAACCATAACCATGAATGCACTCAGCAATGTTTTGGGTGACTATGTAGAGAGTTCACTTTAATCTCTACCCTCTGCTGCAGTCTCTCAGCTTCTATGACTCTATGTCAGGAAAGCAAATAAAATTACATTATGCTGCTCCACAGTGTATGGTACCTTTGGTTTGCGCTTTGATTCCTTCCAATTCTTTATAATTGAACACCTACCATCTAAACATTGTCCCCATTCAATACAAAACTAGAAGAGAGGGAGAGAAAGAAGGCGGGAAGGCAGAAAGGAGGGAAGGAAAGAAGGAAGGACCTCCCCCTAACTCTTCTCAGATTCACCCACCACCCCCATCCCTCCCAACTATGTGTCCTCTTTTTTTCTTTTTTCTTTATAGTCCACTGATTCCAGTGTATGCTATCCAGACTCACAGGTGTCAGATCATCCACTGGCACATGATGGGCCTACAAGGGAGGGAGGGAGGGACAAAAGGGACAGTATACCACACCAAAAACTGCCTAAGTGATACACCCAGGAAAGATAGTAAGGGTCAGTAGGAATCCCAAAGAAGTGACTGTAGAAGCAGCATTCACTTCAGAAGCAAAATGAGCTGGATTGCCTCCATGTATGCTCTAAGTCCTTGACATCTGTCTCCTCAACTCAGTCCCATCAGAGGCTGCTCTGTAGATGCATGAACCAGACAGCTTTGTCCCTGATTTCTCAGTGTTTAGCCAACAGGAAGCACCAGCAGGAGACAGAGCATTTATTATTGTATGTCCCTCCCTCCCAGCATTCCTATAGGACATAGACTCATCACTGTAGGTCTCAATCTCAGTTCCTATGCCTGGCTCCCTACTGGGGAACCTGGTAATGTCCTAGCCTTCACAACCCTACCCTCAGCTCCATGTATGTTAGTCTTCCCAATGGGGTGCTGTTAGGTCCCAAGTTCTTATGAAGTATCTTGTCCTTTGCCTTAATTCTGCCCACACCTTGTAAACAGTCTCTTCAGTAAATTCACTTTAATTACCCTTTTCAAGTATGTCATCTGTTGCCTGCAAAGGGCTTACTCAACACAATTGCTACTGGAAGTAACTAAAAAGCAGATCCTCTGGGATTTGGATACTGCATTATCACACTGAAAAGTGCTGGGGTTAGAGACACATGCCACCTTGCCCAAATTCAGATCCTTGTGCTTGGTGTGAAAGCATTTCATCAACTAAACTACCTCTCCAGCTCCTATAAGCTATTTTTAATGCTACAGATGCTAAGTAAATACATGTTATCTTTACTCATAATTTTGTCTCTTTTAAAATTAAGAGCTTCGTAGTCATTTGAGAGTCCCCTAGCATATACTACAAAAGTTTAATGCTATACACAATATCACAATTCATGTCCTGTTAGATTTTTCTTTGAAATCTATTTTCTCTTTAAGAATATATATGAAATTTACTACACCCACTCATTAGTACACATACATATTTCAAACTGTATCTTTTTCACTATGTAAATAAATTAACAAATATTAAATGACTAATATTTAATACTAAGGCTTTAGTTTAAAAAATGCTGCATTTCATTTTTGTCTTGTAACATATTACCATTTTAAAAATGAATAAGGAGACATAGTAGAATTACATAATTTTGTCCAGAATTCAAACTTAGCACCCAAAGTATTCTTTGAACTCAAAGTATCCCATATGAAAGCAAGTACGAGCTATTTAAGACTAATGCTGGGTGTTAGGAGGAAACAAAAATAATTCAAAGCAAAACTCCATCCCATCATTTAAGAGTCTATAAGGAAAAATAAAATTATGTAAATAATTAGTATGCAAAGAAACTATAACACATATGGCCTTTAAAAATCCAGTATAAAAATCTGTATTTGTAAGACTATTACTTCAAGACTAGCCCAAATATGAAAAGACTGTTGCAACATAAATTTATGCACATGCAGAGGCAGAATTGGCTATAATGAAATACATATCTCGCATCACTTATCATTTGGAGCTGAATTACCTTCCTATTTTTGCTGCCAAAGAATACTACAAAAGTGGCTTAAGGCAACACAAATTTATCCTTGCATAGTTTCAGATCAGAAGCCTATCACAGGTCTTATGGGTCCAACAAGCAAGGTGACAACAGGGTTCTAGAGGGTCTAGAGGAAAACTTATTTCTTGCCCTTTCCATCTCTTAATGGCTTCCTACCTTCCCTGGTCCAATCACATCACTACGTCAATCACATCCCTGATTTCTGCTTCCAACATCATTTGAGTTTCCCAACTCCCTCGTCTACTCATAAGGACTTCACATGACAATACCATTCAAATAATCTATCTCTAGAACCTTAATTACAGCTTCAAAGTGTCTTTTGCCATACAAAGACTGGGTCGCAGTTACTAGTACCTGGGCCTCTTTGGGCAATCACTATCCTGTCCACCACAGGAGTCTTCTCCTTCCCTTTAAGGGAATCCACCCTGTATGTCCTCTGCTGGTTTTCAAAGACCTCAGCACTGTGGTATTACTCCACTAGAAACACAAAAGAATCCTATGCTCTAGACCTTTCTTTGTTTCTTCCTTGTTCTCAACAAAACTTAATCATCCTATATCTGAATACAGTCTACTTATTATTCTCATTTTACAGATGAGAGTAGGAATCTGGAGCACAGGTAGGCTGCGCAGTTACTCAAGAGAGCAGTAACATCCAAGTGGGCTGCCTAGTACTACACATAAGCAAACAACTGGAGGTAGAGCAAAAGAAGTATATGGAAAATGACAACATTTATTTTATAATACTGTCTTCTTCCATCAGACTACGAGCTACATCAAGGCAGAGGCTTTTATACACTTAACGAATAGCTTACTGATTTAGTCAGCATTTACTAAATATCTCTACAGATTCTCACTAAAGGCTTGCTGAGTTATAAAAAAACTAAACAAAATTTTAAAAATAGCCTTCCATTCCAATTCTTCAAGTTTATAGCAGGTGTCAATAATTCAGACAAATTTTTTATTGTCACCTAAAATAATCTACCATAGGTAATTAAATTATCCTAAGTCAACTGAAATGCAAGTTTCCAGCAATAAATATTTTTTTAAAATTCTATTTACCAAATTAATCTTAAAAAGTGATAATGGACTGTTTTAAGGCACGTTTTAAGTCTGCTTAGAAAGAGTTTTTTTAAATCAAAGTTAATAAACTTAAAAAAAAACCAGTTTATTACAAAACGGAAGCAGAAACAACTACTGTAAAATCCAGAGCATAAACATTTCACATAAGAAATACACAACTAAAATTTTTTTAAAGGAGAAAACTTTCATTATGTTATGTATTTTTAAAAACTGCCAAATGTACTCACTCATTTCTGGTGGGTTTTTTTGCATGCAATGAAATTCTAAAACAACTATCATGCTGGCAAACCTTATGAGATCAAGAAAAAGTCATCATAAACCATACAGGAAAATATAAAATGTGTTTTAAAAGTCATCTTTAAACTGGGACCAAGAAAGAGACAATATGCTGCTGCACAAGTGACACTAACCCTACAGACAGCACTTCCTGGCGTCAATATGTAAGAATTTCAGAGTATATAATCTTCTCCTAAGCCCGACAGGAGGTCCAACTGATTGCTTAGTTTAGTTTTGTCTTGTTATTTTTAGAAATGCATCTCCTTGATAATTGTGGCTGGCATTTATTTGAAATATTAATACTAAATGTAGAAAACTGTTCTATCATTCATTATATCTTGAGCTCCCAGGTGAAGCCATATAATTTCATGTGCTCAACAAAAGAACTGCCATTTGTGAATGATTTTAGTTCATTTCTTTTCACTACAAGTACTTACCACATATTATAGCATTTTCTAGGAATATTTACATGTGGGAAAAAAAGTAGTCTGGCGTCTAGAGATAAAGAATTATTGCAGTAAAAAGTTCTTTTTCAAATAAAGTATAAAATAGTAAGCTTTTGTTATGTTTTACCCCATGAGCGCTTTTTTGTGTATATCTGTATCTAGATATTATGCAATTATATTTTAAAATCTATAGATAACTTCAATGATTTTACGCAGCTTATATATTTCCTAAGAAAAAGCTCATTTTAATCAAATAGACAATTATAATAAAACTTTCCTAAAGGTAGAAAGTTAGCTTGTTTTTCTCTAATTGGCTCATGTTGTTCTCAAGTCATAACCACAAAAAGAACTAACACTTTCCCACAGAACAGCATGACATTTAGATTATGTATTTTGTTAGATAGTACCTATCCAGTTTCTTAGAATATTTAAATAGTATTTGCGTACACATGAAGCAAGGCAAAATTGATGTCTTTTAAATCTAGTTAATCTCGAGAATGAAAGCATTAGGCGAATTTCTGGAAGAATAAATGGCTGAAGGCCTACTGTTACATGTTTGGTTCTAGCCACTGCTGCAAGTTAAGAGTCATTTGCCTGCTTTTAGCACCCTCTGCAGGTGAACCAATATTATGCAAGACTTCCATGCCATTAAAAAATGGTCAACTAGAACCTTTGTGGAAAGGAGATTAGGTATCTAACTTATTTTTTAAATGCATTTATGTGAAAAGCAAGAATAAAATTGCTATTTATTGTGAACATACAATTGATATACAGAAAAACCAAACACTAAAAGGTAATATAAAAGGTTACAACTTGAAGACCATACTAAGAATATCAAACTATAAATTATGTGAAAATGAAATGGCACTGTGAACTTACCATCCCTGTTGGACAGCAGACAGACCAGGCCATTCAGGCATGTGTCCGTGACTTCTGTGATATTGGTGGCACATCTGCCTATCGTCTGAATAGTGGCTGCTGCAAACTGTTTATCCTGGCTTTTCACATAGGTCTAAAAACATTTTTATTAGTTTCAATATTGATAATATCAAGTGAATCAGAAGTCAATTTTTTTATATTTTTGTCAATATGTAAGAATTTCGGAGTATATAATCTTCTCCTAAGCCTGAGAGGAGGTCCAACTGACTGCTTAGTTTTGTCTTGTTATTTAATGTGTATCTTCTATAGCAAAGGTACATTTTCAAGCCACGCTCATTCACCTGTGACCACAGAGGCTGGAGGCTCAAAACAGAGAGTGGGGAGCAGCCACCCAAGGACAGCAATTAGCTTAAGGGGTAGGTTGAAAGAGATGCTGAGACCACTCTCTGTGGAGGTTTCAGTTCGTTTAACCAGCAGCATCTGTGAATCTAAGGGAAAGGAAGCCGCTTTCTCAGATGCTAAAACCAAAGTTGGGAGAAAAGGAAGACCAGCACCAAAATGCTATTAACTATTAACCAACAATCTGCCTCTAAGATGGTATGAGAACAGCTGCTAAAGTACAATAGCAAGGCTGAGTGGTGTCTCATTAAGATTACGAGTACAAAATAGTGTAACATTTTTCAAAGAGATCTTCTTTAAAATACAGTATAAATGTTGCATATACACGTAATAAAAGAGACCTATGACTTACAAAAGAAAGTTGAAAAGTCTTTACAAAACTTTTAGTAACCTTAGATAACTTCATGAGTTTGGTTACACCTCTCCTAAATTTATCATTTTTAAGAGCAATTGCTAGGGGCTAGACAGGAGTGCAGGAGGCAGAGGCAGGTGGACCTCTGTGAATGAAGGTCAGCCTGGTCTACATAGTAAGTTCCAAGCTAGCTGAGGCTACAGGGAGACCCAATCTCAAAAAAAAAAAAAAAAAGGAAGGTAGGGGGAAGCAAGATTCCTAACCTCAAATGGTAAGAACACAGCAAAGAATTAACTCTATGACTATCTAAAAAGAACAAGCATTAAAATGGTTTCTAAATGAGAACTGAAGAAAGATCCAATGACATATAAACAATATGAATTTAGTGAAAACAGTCTCAAGAATATGACTAAGTGTTGAAAAAAATTAAACTCTCTAGTTCCATGAAAGAAAAAACAATTATATTTAAAACTGCTCCCAAATAGATAACTTGTTACAGTTAAAAAGAATGTATTTGAGTTCTTAGAAAAATTCCCTATTTTATTCACAAAGTTATTATAAGCAAATTGTAATTAAGTATGAGATAATATATAAACACAGAATATGCTAATTTAGGCAATGGTAAAAATGAATACATGAAGAACATATTTAAAGTTTTACTGAAAAGTGGCTCTTTAAAAACACTGATAGTAAATGAAATACATGGATGAACAACATTCTGAAGGAGATTCACCGCAGTAGCTCTGCAGGATTGACATACTCCAGAGAATACGAAGACTCCCTTCCTACAATCCCAGTGGACCTGACATGCATAGAAAAAACACCCTTCACAATTACACAAGATGGTGGGAAAAGCAACAAGACAAAGAAGACCAAAATTTAAAAATGAACAAGATTACAGAGAGTGAAGTAAAGTTCTAACTGAAACCATGACCCTGCTCTAAGAGCACTCAGTGGAGAGTTGGAGTCGCAACTTTCTTCACACGCATGTGGGGGCGCTATGATATTCTACAATATCAAAGTTCAGCAGTCAGCTAAGAAGATAAGGGTCACACTGGTGCATCCCTCAACTCTCACCAGAGAGGCTTCCTTATACAACAAAGTGTGATACACACAGAAGACCACAATTGGTTAAGTTTTAGAGAATAAGAGACTGCAGAGTGTCCTAGGATAGGACTCTAAATTAAACTTACATCTACCCACAGCTCAGGGACCACTGCAGAAGAGGGGGCATAAAGACTGTAAGAGCCAGGGCTGGTTCATGAACATAGGGACACTGGAAGTTTGCACATGTGAACTTGTGGCAATGGTGGCATCACGCACAGGACCCATGCAAACTCAATCAGACAAGGGTAAAAGTGTGAATCGAGGGAAATGGGTGGCAGGCCAGCCTTAGACTGGGAACTACTGGAGACTGATTACTACTTGTTGAGGGGGAGCAGACCTTACTTAAGATCTTTAGATTGGCTGACTAGACTCCAGGGGATGAATTTGCACCGAAGGACTTCTGGGTATAAATGCTTGACTGGATAGGACTTAACATGTATGGCAGAATAAATAAGGTCTGGTGGAGGGTTAGGGGGCACAGATGGGAGAGGGGGTCAAAATTTGATCAAGAACTGTGGTTTGAATTTAATTAAAACACCTAATAAAACCAAAATACACAAAGTAAAAAAAATTATTAAAATTTCAGGTAAAAATAAAATTCTGGGTATAAATGCTTGACTGGATAGGACTTAACATGTATGGCAGAATAAATAAGGTCTGGTGGAGGGTTAGGGGGCACAGATGGGAGAGGGGGTCAAAATTTGATCAAGAACTGTGGTTTGAATTTAATTAAAACACCTAATAAAACCAAAATACACAAAGTAAAAAAAATTATTAAAATTTCAGGTAAAAATAAAAACAGTATTCCTTTGGATAGAATTGGGGTCTGCTGTTCATTTTTCCAGTAGTATGTTGGGTTACTGTCTGGAAGAGCCTTTATCTATCCTAGCCACCAACTCGACTGAAGGTATCGCCTGTCTGGCTTTGTTGTTTGTCGAGTAACTTTTAGTTATGTATATGTATGCTCTTATGATATTATGTTGGCCCCTTTAATCTTTGATTATACTTCCCTTTTGGGTGTTTAAGGACATACAATTGGACCAGATAAACTGATTTGTTTTTACTCTTGAGGTCGTTAGAGGATTTGTTCCTCAGGGGTCCCATGGGGTTGGGAGGAGCACCTGGCTCCTTTCTTTTACCAGCTCCATCCATGTGAGGATAAGTCAAAGGTCCT